CTGGGATCGTGACCTGAGCCGAAGGCAGACGCTTAACGACTGAGCCACCCAGGCGCCCCCTTCTTGTGAAATTTTAATAGCTTGGAAGTTTGACCCTTTCTTAACCTTTAAGACAGCCCCCCTCATTTTTCCCCTCAGCCCGAAGTATGAGGAGGCTGGCACTGAACACAGTGTTTGCGGTTGCCCATGTTGTGCACTTGCTGTCGGGGAGCCCAGCGTGGGACGTGCTGGACTTGGCTGCACATGGGTCCACAGTTCCGGCGCGCGCGGGGCTCTGGGTCCCCTGGCAGCCCTGCCCTGGGTCCCCAGAGCCTGCAGGGTCCGAGCACCGGGCAGGACCTGCAGGCACTCCCCAGGACCTGGAGAGGCAGGGCGGCAAGAGAACCCTTGGCCATGTGTGGGATTACACACGTTATAGTCGTTATTCACAGGGATCAGTAACGGCCGTGATGCAGCAAGTATGGAGTCAGGGGGAGAGTGGAACGCATCCTTCCTTGAAGCACCTGGGCCCAGCAGCCGCTCAGCCAAGCACCTGGTGTAGAGAATGTGAGAAACAGCGCGTGAGAGCGTGAGTTGGAGAGCCCGAGTGCAGGAGTGGGAATGCACTGCATCCCGCGGCCCTGGCGAGCATCCCCTGCATCAGGGCCAGGACAGAACCCGGGTCCTCGGATCCACGGGGCTGTTTCCAGGGCCCGCTTGTCTCCGCGGGGTAACAACACAGAGGTCTGCTTTTCAGTTGTGGGTTCTTAATTGACAGAGGAAAAGAGAAGAGGCGGTAATAGGTACTAGTGAATGGTTTCACATGCATGCACACGTGTTCACATGCTTGCATCAGTGTGTACACACGTGGGCATGTTTTCACATGCACACATACATGAGTTCGCATGTGCGTGCCCCTGTGCCTGTTTCCATGTGCATGTGTGTGTTCACATGTGGCCCCCGTGTGCACACGTGTGTGTGTGTGTGCGGCCGCGATTACCCTGTCTCAGGGTACTCGAAGTACAGGTATTGGGTGGTGACTGAGGCAGGCCTCCCGGGGCCGCGCGGATCCAGCTGCTCTGCACAAGGCACGTGCCTCACGAAGGTCAGGACGCTGTGCCTGGATGTCATGGCCACGGCGCCTCTCGGAGCCTGTCCTCTGCAGACACTCTGCTTAGCCTCATGGTCAGGGTTACACGCCGCTGTCTACGGGAAATACATCAGGCCCCGCACTCAGAGCACACAGCCCTTTGGTGAAGCCTCATAAAGTGCTTGGTGCAGGCTGCCCCCGAGGGCGTGGCTCACGGAGCAGGTGGCTGGGGAAGTGTGGGTGCCCCTCGAGCCTGGTGGGTGTGGCCCGTGGGAAGCCCACCATGTAGGTGACTTGCCCTCGTCAACATAGTCGGAGATGGTACTCTGGAAGCCGGGAGCATGGGGCTCCAGGGTGGCCCCTCTGCACCTGCTTTGGCCTGGAATCCCTGAAGCTTGGCAGCCTTGAGTGACCCCGCTGGCTTCGTGGGGTGGGCTGGAGGTGCCAGGGCCGCGGGCTGGCTCGGTGCTTCTCTGTGGTGACCTGGGGTTCATCAGACACGTAGTGGGGACCCTCACGAAGGAAAGGGGTGCCCGGGGCTGAGAGCTATGGGCTCCTGGTCTGAAGAAGCGCCTGGTTCCTCAGCTGCTCCCCTGTCCCCTCCTTCAGCGTCAGATTGTCCGTGTCCCTCGTTCCGAACGGTCCTCCCAGAGTCAGACGGCCATTGTCCATGTCCCTTGTTCCGAACGGTCCTCCGGGAGTCCGACGGCCGTTGTCCGTGTCCCTCGTTCCGAACGGTCCTCCGGGAGTCAGATGGCCATTGGGAAGGAGGGCCTCGTTTTTCTCACGACAGGTTTCCTGTGACACCAGCTTTGTCCCCGCCCCCATCGATGGCTTCAGTGACCGAGTGCAGGTCGCAGGCGTCTCATGATTTAGTGTTTGGTCAGAGGTATTGGAAGTTCTGCTGTGATGTTTTATAATCCTTTCTGGGAGCATAAAATGTGGGGACTTGGACAGATGTGCTTTGAAACCCCCACAGATGTACAGTGTCAAGTTACATTGTCCTCTCTTTCAACTTTGGGATTCGACTCATAGGCTCTGGCATGTGTTTTCATAAATCCGTATTCCTTTAATACAGGAAAAACTAGGGCCCCCAGCCCCTGGAGTTTCTCTCTTTGAACATTTGAAAGTGACTTTGACATTCTGAGCATCAGTGGGAATTGAACAAAGGCCACGAGTTTTCTGCACGTTTAGTCCCAGGTTAAGTGCCCTTTAATCAGCAGAGATTCCCGGGGCTGCTCAGTGTGCCTTCCGGGGAACAGGACATGATATTCAGGACAGGCAGACATCCCCAAAGTGGATCACGTGTTAGCATTTTGGTGCTGACAGGAATCTGAACATTTATCCCTCCTGCGTCGTCTTATCTCCTCACCCATCCTGCTCATCACTACGTACTGGTCACCTGTTTTATGTGGGACATAATCCTTTAAAATTGCATAGGAGTGGCTCATTAACTACCTACTAATTGAAACGGCACATTGGTTACTCTGCTCCTTCTGATCTCTGTCAAAATGCATTCTGTGAAGGATGCCTTCCTGCTTCCATGAAGATCCCTTTGGAATACATTTAAAAAAAAATACCAATTTGATGGGATTCCTGAGCCTTAACTCCAGAAAATATACTTAGAAAATTTTTAAAGAACATTTTTTGTAAATAGATACCTACATTCCACTGCAAATGTTTAAGTCTGTAAATATTCTTAAATGAAGACCAGCGATATTGGGCCTTGCCATAAGTGGGCACCTGACATTTTAACCCATTGCATCGGTGACAGGTGGCATTCACTGTCGTGTCCACGATGTGAACTTGTGTTCTGTAGTTTGGAAAGTGTTGAGATATCCAGAAACATTTGTACACCTTCCAGATGTTGAGCTCACTATACCCAAAGTCATCAGTGCAAATAAATGTAAAATGGAGTTTCTCTCAAGTTGTGTTGAATCCCCTTGGGGTGTAGTCTGGTCTCGCTCTGCAGAGGCTTTAGCATGTCAGTCTGAAGGGCATGGAGCCCCGCTCCCACCTGCCACTGATGCCCTCCATGCAGCCTGGTTTGGGAAGAGGCGGGCCTCCCTGTGCCAGGGCATCTGGGCACACCCAGGCTGCCTCTCTTGCGGGAGCACTGCAGGCGGGAACTCCAGGGGCAGAGAGTTCAGGGTCTCCGTCCCGGGCATCCCTCCGGGGAAAGGTGGGGATGAGTGGCCTCACTTACCCTTCCTTCTCATGCCTCTGAAGGGAAACTTCAGTTGTCAAGCCTTTTGGACTGTAACAGTGGACCTTAAGAGAGAGAGTCATTAGGGACCGTTCTGGATCCGTCTGAAGTCGACCTATAGCCCGGACATTTCTGGGGCAGCCACAGGATCCCCCGGGCAAAGTAAGCCATTTTCAGGCCCAGCCTTGTGTGACCACGGGCTGCCTCTCAGCTACTCTGGGTCTCCTTGCCTTACGTCCCTGGGACCCCTAACCGTGACTGCATTTAGAGAGTTCCCTGAGAGTCGTGGGAAGCCTTGTGCTAGTACAGAGCAGGTATTTCTTGGTGTTTGGTATAACTAGTTACCCTCTGTTAACGAGTAACTGCGTAGTTACAGGCAACTAGATTTTATTTCTCCTGACGATCTACTGAGTTAATCAACTGAAGAAACCAACCCCACCCCAGATACCGTCCTTTTGCCCTTAAATCTGGCCCACTGTTGAGAGCGTTGTGGGGAGCAGCCCTGTTGTGTCCCGAGGACCCGCGCACCCTGCGCGCGGGGCCACAGTGCCTTGGGTGTGCTACTGTGTCTCGTTCTGTCCTGATGAGAGATGGTAACGTCACGTTTTACATTCTGATCCTCCAGGGGGAAAGCCACTCCGCTTCTGCTTTTCTGAAGAGGTGGCATCAACTGTGCTCTCCAATGGAGACCAGAGTCACGCGCCTGGGAGTAACGTGTCAGCCACAGGCCCCGGGGAGCCCAGAGCGGGGAGCGCAGCTTCCGTGTCCGTGCTCGAAAACAGGAGCCGAGATGCTTCCAAGAGAGCAGAGCCGCCCAGGTTTTCTGTGGACATCAAGACGCCTGCATTTCACCCGAAGCAGGAGGTCTCCATCTCCAGGGACACCGCAGACTTCCCTTCACATTCGGTTCAGACTTTTCCGGAAGGAGCGGGCCTGCAGCTCTTGTCCGCGAGCCCGGCTCACCCCCTGAAGGAGAAGCTATCTGATTTGCACACGAGGGAGCACGCTGTGGGGGGAAGGAAGGTGCCGGCCCCAGACCTGGTCCCGCTGGACCTCAGCGAGCGGTCGAGCCGGGATGACCCCAGCCACAAGGAACTGGCCTCGTCCCTGCAGGCTGCACTGGCCGTTCACCCCTGTCCTTACTGCAGCCACAAGACGTACTACCCTGAGGTCCTGTGGATGCATAAGCGGATCTGGCACAGGGTCAGCTGCAACTCCATGGCCCCCCAGTGGATTCAGCCCAACGGTTACAAAAGCATCAGAAACAACTTGGTTTTCCTTGCCCGGAGCGGACGCACGGGCCCCCCGCCTGCCCTCGGGGGCAAAGAGTGCCAGCCTCTGCCCATCGCTCGGTTCACGCGCACTCAGGTGCCGGGAGGGGCGCCGGGGCCCAAAGGCAGCCCCTCGCCCCTGGGCGTGACCCCGAAAGCCACTAGCGTGCCGAAGAGCAAGGAGAGCCATTCCGGGGGCCCCTGTGCGCTTTGGGTGGCCGGCCCCGACGGGCCCCGGCAGACCAAACCTGGCCATGGCCCTGAGCCGCACGGCGGCCCCACGCAGCTGCCCCTGCCGAAGCCCAGGCAGGAGGCCAGCCCCAGACCGGGGCCCGCGGCGGGCGGCGGTGGCTTCAGCCGAAGTGCCACCCCCACGCCCTCCGTCATTGCCCGGGCAGGCACCCAGCCCCCGACCAGTAGCAGGCCAGGGGACAAGTACGTCACGCCTCCGGCAGGGACCAGCCTCGGCCCCCCAAATAAGCACAGTGCCCCGGACCCCCTAAAAGCCAAATTCAGCCCCCAGCCTCAGGGTCAGCCACAGGTGAAAGGCGACGGGGGCCCCCCTCTACCTCCCCGCGAGCCCCCCTCCAAGGCTGGCCCCGAGCTGCGGCCGCTGGCTAGCTGTGGAGCGGGCCCCAGGGGGCACGCAGCCCTGCAGGCCCAGCCCGCCCTGCACACCAGCAAGCCCGCGTCTGACGGCCACGAGAAGCGGCTGGACATCCTCAATATCTTCAAGACGTACATTCCAAAGGACTTTGCTTCTCTCTACCAGAGCTGGGGTGCCAACGGTCCTGCACTAGAGCACAGAGGTAAGACGAGCGGGCCCCTCCCTGCCCGCCCACGTGAGCGCGGGCGTGATCGTCCTTGGCGGGCCGCACGGAGGAGCCTCTCCTCCGGGGGTCGGGCGGCTGCCTGCCCCATGGCTGTGCGTCCGAACGCAGAACAGAGAGGGTGGGGCAGATGCACCCCTCTCCGGCCCCCACAGCTCTGCCTTCTAGGGCGCAGGTGCCTGGTGCCGGGGGCATGAAGCTGCCGGCCCCGCGGGGGCTTCCCTCCTGGTGATGTTAATTCAGACGTTGCTGAAATTTGACAGGAGCAGGCAGCCTTGATGCCTCTCATGTCCTTTGTCTTTTTGTTTTTATTTTTTATTTTTTAAGGAAGCTCTTTGCCCAGCATGGGACTCGAACTCGTGACCCCGTGATCAGGCTCTACCGACTGAGCCAGCCGGGTGCCTCTTCCTTTGTCATTTTAAACATAGAATCAGTAGATGTTCATTGTCCCTTTTCTCTCAAAAGGCAGGAATGGTTATTTGAAGCGACTGTTTTATTTTTGTACATATGTAATTTAAAAATACATAGTTCACTGGCATTAGTAAGCAAACCGTGCGGAGTATGAATGTACCATACAAAGTTTGGGGGACTGGCTTGTGCCACATTCCAGAAAAGATAGCCTTTAGTGGCCATTTTCCTTTCCTGCCAGCGTCTGGGTATTGACGCCTTGTCGTGAGCATGATGAGGAACTGCCAGGGACGGCACACGCCGGGTAGGATGCCCTCGTCCTTGAGCGTGAATCGTGGGTAGCTCTCCCTTAAGGGAACATTAGGAGATCTAAGGATTTGCTATTAACCAAAACCAGGCATATGAAAGCCCCGACGGAGCTGTGTCTCTCTGTTCATTACCCTTCTTTGAACTGAATTGTTCATCATGCCCCTGTCATTAAAGTAAGTTATCATCAAAAATGACCTTTGAGATCCGGCCCCTCACATTCCAGCAAGTTGGAAGCACTTTGGGGAACATAGTTCAAGGTTTGGTGGAAGTGGGTGAACAGTGTGTGAGATGTGCAGTGGCCGTGGGTGCCTAGCGAGAAGGCGGGTCTCTCCCTGAGTTCCCCGCTGCCTCTGGGGACTTGGGCACCTGCCCGGATCCACGGGCACGCTGGGGCCGTCCTGGCATGGTGAGCGGCGCCTTTGGCTCATGAGGAAACACTAAGGTGTTTTTCGACTAGGAAAACACTCGGGGGTGCCACGGTCTTGGAGATTTTGCCAGTGGGGTCCTTATTCAAGGTTGGCGTCTTTTTCTCCTCGCTCAGAGCCAGGGCTTCTTGTGAACTTTCTAGAAGGAAGCAAAGGCGCGGATGCCCGGAGGTCGTTGAGACACACCGTACGCCGAGGTGCTTGCACGGCACAGCGAGCACCCTTGTGTCTGCGACTCTCATCCCTTCGGGCACAGGTGCTCCATGCCGGGGTGGAGCTGGGCACGCGCCCCTCGCAGGTGGCAGAACCCAACTGGTGCGTGGCTTCGCGTTTTTGCATTTTCAGATTTCAGTTACATTAAGTGAGCTTTGCACCTTCTCAGGGACGTTCTCCAATCACGCAGATTATTTGCTGTGAAACGGAAAAACGATCTATCGGCTGACCTTTAGACCTGATGGCAGATCCATCTCTTTAGGTTTGGGTTGTCTTGGCTGCAAAAGCCGAGACGTTGTAGGCGCCCAGTGGGCGAGTTTCAGTGGGTGCCCGTGTTCCCGGCGGCCGTGACCCTCTCTGTCCGCTCCTTCCGGTGACCGTGGCCTCGGGCGCCCTGAGCTAGGGGCTCGCCTCGCTGTGTCAGTGGCTTCTGCCCAGCGCCCAGACCTGGGGCGCATCACGCAGAGCGCACCGGCCGGTTCCCACCTGTGAGTGGCTTTCCCTTCGTGCTGCCGTGGGTCGGTGCTGTCTTTGCTTTTCCCCCCAAAAAAGGAGAAGTGAGTCTCAAGGTAAGGTTTTGACAATTTCAGATGACAGGTAAGAAGTACACGGTAGCCTGAAATGTTGTCCTTTTCCTTAAAAATTTTAAATGGTCTCAGGGTTTTGTGTGTGTGTTTTTAAGAGAGGTTACATATTTTTCTTTTAAATGTGAGAAATGCTAAATCGTCCGTAATGCATGTGTTCTCCTCTTGGGTTATTGGCTCTGCCCGTGTATACACTGAAATACAGCTAGGTGTATTTAAGAGTGTTTAGGCTGTTTAAGTTCGTGCATACTTGGGTTTCTTAAGGGGAGTGTTCTAAACTTTTCAGCTGTGATGCACTATTAAGTGCATTTCTAGAAACCATGGTTTCCCGGGTTTAGGGAAGAAGGGATCAGTTTGTCTAGGTCCCTCGGCTGGTGTCCGTGTGGTGGCCGCATGGTTGGATGGGATGCTCCCCTGCATGGCCCTTCCCTCTGCGGCTCCCCTTGGGCTCTGGTCTTGACTTTGGGGCCAGGCCTGGGCTCTCTCGCAGGAAGGTCTGTTGACTCTCCGAACGCCTTGGCTGGTCTGCGCCCTGCTCACGTGTCCCATCTGTAGCCACCGGGCCCTTGCCGGTTCCTTTCTCCTTCTTGGAATGTTTACTTACGGCTCTTCAAGTGTTGTAGTGGAAGGAAATCCAGCAGGTTTGGGGCCTGAGTGTCTGAGAGGTGAGTGGAGTATTAATGTTTCCTGTTGTAGAGGCTCTGCTTCCACTTTTGCAGCCTGGGAAGTATGAGCAGCTCCCCAAATCGTTGCCACTGACGCATTTCTGAATGTGCCGGTGACTCAGATTCCTAAGGTTTTTGTCTTCCACTGGCTGCCGTGCATCCATAGCCTTTGTGTACTCCACAGTTGATGTTTGCGTCATGAATCTAGGAAGTTAAGTTCATCTCTAGTCCGGGTCATGTTTTTGGCCTGTCTTACTCTACGAGTCTGTCCATGCTGTTCGGCTCTCATTCTGTGGTCTGGTGCATTGGCTGTGGGCCTCCTCTCTGGGGGTGTCCCCTGCAGAGTAAAGGTCTCAACTCCTCCACACAGGCCTCGGGGGAACGTGCCGCCCAGCATCAGCTTGCAGTGGGGGAGGCAGAAGTCTGCACAAGAGAATCTTCCAAGAAGAGTAGCCATCTGTTTACATGAGGAACATTTGCGGGGGGCCACGTGACTCTGATTTCAGGGCCTGTGATTGTTCACACAGAAGCCCTGGTTTCTGGAGGTGCCTCTGAGGCATTGGGTCTTTCCCGACGTGAGGGCGGAGAATTCTCAGAGGTCTTTTCCCCACGTGTGTTTTGACGGATTGATGTTGGTGTGGAAGCCTGCCAAGAGAGAAAGGATGTTCTGGGGCGTGACCACCGTCTCTTGCTGGAGGGACTCAGACTACAGCCCTTAAAGCCCTGGGGTTTCTCTGCATGGCTGGTGAGTCTGGAAACTTCTATCCATAGAGTAGGACTGTCCTGTTGATGGAATAGTAATAAAATAACACATTACCTATGTTTTCAGACTTCGTGCTCAGCCTATGTTAGGTGAGAATATGGATTTTAGAATAAAAACTTGAAGATGATAGGAGGAGATTATTCTAGATAGAGTAAGACATAAGGTCTCTGTTGTTGGGACTTGACAAAGTCACTTCTACCAAGGACACATTGATTCTGATGATGATGAGGGGTGCGTGCTTCCTTTGCTTGGTTCTGTGTGGAGTCCCGCAGAAGGTGTCCAGGCTCCTTTCCCCCTTGCAGATGGCATGTATGTTGCAGCGTGATCGGGTTAAATTAACGTCGCAGGGCTCAGGAGCAGAGTCTGCGCCTGCCTCTGGAAGGCTCTCCCCTGCCTTTCACTCGGCCTCCTTTCCCACACAACTCTAGTTTCTAGGTCAGAGTGTTAGAGCTCTTTGCTCACCAGGCAGTCTTCAATTCAAATGAAGTTTATAACCTTTCTGATTAGCTCAGAATTTTGGAGGAGCTTGGGCACAATATTATTGACCATGAAGGGCAAGGATCTTTTCTTAAAAAGTAAAGAGGAAATGATATGGCAAAACACACGGGAGACAGTGTGTGTGTGTGTGTGTGTGTGTGTGTGTGTGTGTGTGCGCGCGCGCGCGCGCACACGCTGATGCATCCTTAATTCAAGGAAATACGGTCGGCTGACCAGAAGTGCTGGGTTTTTCTGTGCCACTTGGATGGGAGATGGGCAGCTGATAGAGTTCCTTACAAAAAAGTCCTGAAACGATGTAGTGTGGGAGGACGCAAACCCCACGCTGCTTCTCATGATCCTTAGCAGGTATCCGGTGTAGGCATCGTTAGAATCCACATGGGCGAGCCGTCCCCTTACACCCAGGAGAATCCGCACGACCAAAGTGATCGCCAGGGAAGGTTCTCGTAGGATGAGACGGGGTTGTTTCTCTAAGACCCATGTTCAAGGCTTGCCCCGTGAGAAATGGGACAAGGTCTGCCTTAACAGCGCACACGTTTTTGAGGATTATGTCCATAACGTTGTCTGCAGTGCAGAAGCGATTCTGTGTTCTTTTGATCTGTGGATGCGCTGTGAATTCAGACAAGAATTTGGTTTCAGCTGATTTGATGGAGACCATTTGTCATCCTTTCCATTTGCCTTTTACATTCAAATATCAGATGTTAGGGGCAGACACACTCAGCTCCGTGAGCATGATTTAAAAAAATGTGTTACTCCGGGCAGAACTTTTTCTGGTTGGTTTTTTTGTGTTGTGTTTCCGTCGAGTTACCGTTGAGCCCAGCAGCGAGAATGGGGCTCAGGGGGAGGCCCTCTGGGGCCACTCCCCTGACGTGAGCATTGGCCTTTCTTCAGAGGGACGCAGTTGAGGGCCGTCTGCACCCCCGTTCTCACAGAAGGGAACATGGGGCCAGGGCCTATGCCCAGCCCGATTCCCAGGTGTCCCGTCTGTGTCCCGGAGGGCATGTGGGCACACAGGTAAGGGGCCAGGCGGGCGGTGTCAGTGGCGTGGTGGGGACAGGTGGCCAGGCCGCAGCGTCCCCGTCCCTGCCCCTGGCCGTGTCCGCGGTACCACCCCGATCTCCAGGCAGTGGATGGTGGGAGGGCGTCCAGTTGCCCTGAGGCCCCGCACCCCCCTGGGGCCGCGGTATGGGTTTCAGGTCCCGTGGTTTGTGTTCCCTCGCCGTCCTGCGTACACCGGCTGTCGGCAGAGCCTGGGGCACGGCTGCTAGTCATGTCCCATCACACCGTTAGACAGACTAATGATGTTTTCCTCTCGCCCCCACCCCTGCCCCACCTGCACACCACCCACGGCCACCGCTGCCCAGGGACGCTCCGGACGCAGGCCCGCCAAGGAGACTTCGTCTGCGTGGAGTGTGGGAAGCGTTTCCACCAGTCCAGCCGCCTCAGGGCCCACACGCGGGCCCACACAGGTACCCCGCCCGCCACTGGGCCCGGGCCAGCCGCGGACCCCGGGGGGGCACCTGGGAGCCCAGCCACCTCGGCCTTGGCTGCATCCCCAGCCACTGGCACGCGAGCCCCCGGCCTGGGAGGCCTCACGCACCAGACTCTCCCGCCCGGCCCCCAGAATGGTCACCGTGTGGTTTAAGTTGAGATAAGCCTGTTTGCAAATGTCCCCTTAAGAGAGTCGAGGCCTCAGCAATGACTATGTTAATGCGTCCCGCTGCCCCCAGCACGCACGCACCTAAGTCACCGAGCCCCCGTCAGTGTGACACACGGCGCGGGGTCTCTCCTCCTGGCGCTGTGCACCCGTAGTCTGTGTGCCCCTGCACTGGTCAGTGCCAGTGGCAGGAGCCCTGGGCCTGTGTGTGCCGAGCTTGCCCGCGACTGTGGGGGCCGAGAGCCGTGCATGGGGACCCCGCGGCCCGTGGGAGGAGGGCGCCGGAGGGCTCTGTGTGGGAGTGTGGAGGGTGCGGGCAGCAAGCCAATGTGATGCAGACGACAGAGGCCAAATGGTAAGTAAGGCAGGAGGAGGGCCCCCTCCACAGACACTGATAATTAGCGTTGTCAGTGATGGCTTTCTCCACAGCGAGGTCTGCATTAGAGAGCCGTGGCCCAGGCAGCTCCATCCCGTCTCTGAAGGCGAGTGTTGAAGCAAATTGGTCTTTACGGCCCCAGGCTAGGGCAAGTGCTTTATCTGTAAGGGCCTTGCTTCCTGCGCCAGACGAAGCTGGTGCGCTCCTGTTCCCACCGTGGCCTTGGAGTCTAATGACCCCTGGGGCACTGAAGCCCACGTCACCTCCGCAGATGCCCCCAAACAAGTAGGCCTTGCGGTTAACTGGATGTCGGGTTTTAATGTGGTTGCTGGGAAGAGGCGTGCCCTGATGCTCAGCACGAAAGCACCCAGTGGTTTTCTTTTTGCCAAAAGTGTCAGTCACTGCGTTGCTTTGATGTAGACCCAGCCCTTCAGGACAGTCTGGGGGCAATCGGCAAACCCCGACGGCCGTCGCGGCCCTGAGTTACGAGGACGCGGCAGGTGCACGCAGCTGCTGTTGGTCCTGCTGGGGGCGAGGCGACTGAGAGTCCTGCTTTTCTACCCAAGGTGTCTTTGCACAAGCTTGTTCGAGGACCAGTTTCGCCAGCTTCTTCTGTAGCATGGCGTGTTGGTATTCCTCCGTGAGAAGCGCCGGGCTGTGTGTGGTGCTCCACGGCTCTGTCCGCTCCTCGATCTGGTTCCCTGCCTGACACGCTCGGCCGGCACAGTCGCCGTGCGTGGGTACTCGTGTGCACGCCTGCCTCACGCGTGTGGCCTTCGCGTGTTCACTGCTCTGTCCACACGACGTGGCTGCGCTCTTGCACACGCTGATGGAGGATTCGGTGTGAGCTCCTCAGTCGCGAGGCACACGCCGTCCCCAGTGGCCTTGCAAGTTGTCCTGGGCTAAGAGCTCTCCCCGCTTCTGTCCCCTCACAGATTGGCACTCCGCCCCTCCTCCCAAGGGCATTTTCCGTTGACATTCTGGCTTTCTGATGGGCTTCCATAGCTGCACGCTCTCCCCTTTATAGAGGAAGAGGCATCTCTTTGCCTCCAGAGCAAGCATCCAGGCCCCGTGGCTGGGTCAGCACAAGCTCGTGGGTCCTGTCCCGATCAACGTAACCATCCGCGGGACTCTGGGCTGTTGAGGGTGGTGAGGGTGATGGAGGCTCCACGGGAAGCACAAGAGCCCTCCTGGTCTGTTTCTCTAGAAGAGAAGGTTCACGGTGAAGCCCCAGTGAAACGGCCACTGCCACGCAAGGGTGGACCTTAGCACGGACGTGGCCTCCCCAGCGCTTTGTGCTTGTGTTTTATTGCAATTTTAGAATTCTTTTTTGTTGCTAAAAAGGCCTTTCTTCGTATGTCATGGACTAAATGCCTTGTCGTGTGTTACAGTTTTTCAGGAAGTGATTTGTCTCTCTCAATAAAACCGATAGTTTTAGAATAGAAAGAAGTTACTTCACAATGCCGTGACGGTTTCTGAAATAAGTAACATCTCTCCGAATGTGGAATTAAAAGATCTCCAAACACATGTGACCTCAGCTCAAATTAGGTAGCCCTCTCCTTTTTCACAGAAATAAACCCCCTTGCAAAAAGAGCCCCCACGATGTGTTTGCGGGACGTGGTAACAAGAGGTCGCGCCCTGATCGGAGAACACACGTTGAGATTACAACTGGAGTCAGTGCAAAGTGTTTGTGGTGCGTAGGCGACCCGTTAAATCTGCCTAAGACATGGCTTTTTGACGAGAGTGTTTGTGGGGTGGGAAACGCCAGGCAGATCCACAAAGAGCTCCACGAGATTCTTCAGGAACACACGTCGGGTCTGTTTCCTATGCTATGCATTCATTCTACTCGGTCTCTTTAAAATGTTCCTGTCACAGGGAGAAGTAGGTCAACAAGGCACATCACTAAGACTGCATTTTAAGTTATTTCTGTGTCACTTGTAGGTATGCTGGGAATTCATAAGACTCGATACTCATCCTTGATTATGATCGAGAAAAGATGTATTTATATTTTTGTCTTTGTCTCCGTGAACGCAAGTTCTGCAGTTCTGTACTTATTACCACCTGACCTGTTGACTTCATGTTTACAGGGATGCATGTTACGTGCTCTAAGTGGTTGTTCCCTCTTGGTGCAGGGCCCGCAGTGGGTCAGCTGTCTTTCTGTCCAGCCTTGGGACAGCGCTCGCCCAGGCCTGTGACCCTGATGTTGCACTGGATTGATCCGCCCCTCCCACTGTGGCCGCTAGTTTGCTTAATTCCACATTTGAGATCGTGGCCCCTGGTAGTACTTTCTGTCCTTTGTTACATTTAAAATAGCTTTTTTTTTTTAAAGATTTTATTTATTAGAGAGAGAGAGAGCGAGAGCGAGCGGGCCACACAAGCAGGGCAGGAGGGGCAGAGGGAGAGGGAGAAGCAGACCCCCCACTGAGCAGGGAGCCGGATGCGGGACTCGATCCCAGGACCCCGGGATCGTGACCTGAGCCGAAGGCACGCTTCACTGACTGAGCCACCTAGGCGCCCCTAAAGTAGCTTTTGCTGATGAATCAGTGAATGTTCTGGTTCTCTAAGAAGATCCCATTTCTTTAGCATACTCTGGAATTTAAGAATCCCCAAGGAGGTATGTCTGCCAAGATAATTGAAAGCCAGTCACAGGTATAGGCTTAAATCTTGGTATTTTTCTTATCTTGTAGTTCTCAATGTTGCTGTGTTAGATTTAGGGTATGACACATATCCATGGAACAATTCTGTGGTTATTTATCTGGAGTGGGAGTCATGCTGCTCACCAGCATGTTCTTCCTCATGTTTTGGTGTGCTTTACTAACATTAAATAATTAATATTTAAGTCAGATCCTTTTCTTGGGAACTTTAGAAGCTGCAGATCATGGGCTTTTTTTTTTTTTTAAATCATATAACATCTTATATTCATGCAGAAATTATTTGATGTGATGGACCATTTGAAGTTAATGGACTTTACAGATATTCATAATGGAAATTCAGTTTTATATTTTTTTTTTAAAGATTTTTTTTTATATATTTATTTATTCATGAGAGACAGAGAGAGAAGCAGAGGGAGAAGCAGGCTCCCAAGGAGCAGGGAGCCCGATGCGGGACTCGATCCC